TAGTATTGGAAGGACCCAGCTCCCATAGTTAGTCATGCCCTCATGATTTTGAGAGTAGCAAGACGAATGTATTCTGACCTTGCTGATACCCAATTCACAGATGTATTTCCACACCTCGTGGGAAGAGGCAAACGAGCTGTTCCTCTGTATCATGGGGTTCTGTTTGCTCTCTCGAGCTGCTTCTGCCTGCGAAAAGGCCAGAATAAGGCACAGTCAATACTCATCAAGAGCCTCTTTYTAGGTACATATGGTCCAGTTTTAGGCCGACTATCAAAGTCAAATTCCAAGCTATTGCAGGGACATGTTTTTATTTAACATTTAAAACCATCTCCTTACGATTGATGTCTATGAGATAATGCAAGGCACAGCCAAAGATTTTACACTAGGTATGGTGCAAGGACTTACTCATGTGAAGGAATATCGTTACTTTGAGCTTTCTTCCTTTTTATTTAGTTTTTGAGTAGTCTCTGCTGTACCTATTGCGAAGTAAAATGCATTTTAATTGAACAGAGAAATTATGCAGCTTGATGAGGACTCAGCTCACTGGGAACAGACTTCTGCCTTCCTGCTGGCAGTTAAGCCTAGCAAGAATTGCCTTGAGGGAGCCGACTGATTAGGACCATCTCGTACATGGGGAGCTATGAAGGGAACAACATGGCTTTTGGTGCCCTGTGTTTGTTGTTCCCTAACTCATCTATGAGCCTTGGCAATGGAATGCTTCATTCCTTGTACAGGATGCTAAATATGTATATTTATTAAAATGTAACATCACCTCCACTTGCTGTGTCAAGCAAGTAGAAATGCAGCAGAGATTTGCTGATCTAGCTATGACAATGGCCAACACTTTTGGAAAACACTCTGGAAAACCATTTCTGGCAACAGTTATATAAGGAAAACTATTACTTGGGCAAAACARATGGAAGATGAATTTAACAGTGGCTCTCACCTTACTCTGTAGAAATTTAAAACACTGTTGATTTAACACCTCAACAAATTCAGATTCAAAGTCTTGGTCGCTGTACCAAGCCCCACCAGTCACTGACCGATCAGGCTGCAGGTTATATAGCATATACACCTTCTTCTTAGATGCCTGCAAAAGAAAACTGCACAGCTTTCAATAGTCAGGGAAAAAAAAAAAAAAAGGCTATAAGAGAGAAACATTTAGCAACAGGAGCTGTAGAAGAGAGAATTGTCCTAATCTGGGTGAGGAAGCACGGTACAGGGTGAGTGAAAAGGAAGCTCCAGAAACACAAAAAAGGAGAATACGGTATAAAATTCAGTCATGTAACAAGAGAGGGTGGGATGTGCCAACAACAGGAGCACAAACGCACAGAGATGCACAGAGGCTGCCCCGCAAACCCAAGTCCCCTGAGATGCAAGAGGGAAATCCTTTAAGCAACTCTTGAAACTAGATCTGTGTCCTAAAGACTGAATGTGGGAGGGGAGATAAAAGGGTGATGGAATTGCAACTTAYTATTAGTGATGAGAGAGGCTAGTGAATAATGTAGTAACAGTGTAATGAAGAATTCCAGAACTACAATCTGATAAAAAGGGTGTGTAACTACCAAGAGCGTGAAGAGTCAGAGAACTATGTATAAACAGTGATGTGCTCATTAATTAAATCAGTTAATTACTCAGTTAATCATTCTATTAGTAGTATGTTGATTATTTAATAAACATTACAGTTTCTTGCATCTGTTGCAACTTAAGCCTGTATTGCAAAGGTGAGAGTCAAACTTTGGAGCACAAAGGCAGATACAGAACCGAAGTTTCTTTGCCCCTAGTACCCTACTCAAACATGCAGCACATAACAAACATTTTAAATGGTTATAAAAAACAATCAACCAAACAACAAACAATAAGAAAAAAAAACACTCACCGCAACAGATTTAACTGCTTTAATTAGTTTTTTACTTTCCAGATTTTTCAGAATCTTGTTGATCTCCGTTAAAGGTAGATTACTTTTGTATCTAATGTCTCGGCTCCAAATACCTGTTTAGGAACAGAGAAGTGAATGGAAATGATTAGAAGGAGAAACTGTTCATTTCTGTAATTCATTTTGCTAAAATAAAATAAAATAAAAACAAAAACGCTGTCCTTTACCCCTCCTCTGAGAGGGACCTCGTTTTTTTTCTTTCATTTCACTTACAACACAAATACAGCACAGAAAAAGTTCTTGCACTTTTAGGYAACAAGTTTTTACTTCAAGGGAACTTTACAATTTATTCTGGCTGCCTTCTCTCAAGCACAGGGTGCAAAAGACAGCTGTAACAGCCTAGTTACTAGAAGTGGCTTCTGCTGGCAGCACACCTATGAAATCAGAGTATTCTGCACAGAGTCCTCATGGGTAAATCTCATAATTCCTGTTCCAAATATTCTGAAAAAGTCTGCAAAAAAGTCAGCCAGGACAAGTTGTTGTTCTGTAGAGAAACACACAGCCCTGCTAAGGAAATTCTTGTCATTATATTTGTATTGCTTGGGCAGTTATGCAAAGCTTTGGACAGAAATGGTTCCATAAAGAAACAGAGTTGGTGGCATTCACAAATACAGATTAAATAAACTACCTTTGTTGCCTGCATCTTCTATTATTTGGTAAACCAGCTTCTCTTGATTGTCAGAGCCTTTCATTTTACTGTAAAAAAACAGGACGGACATCAGAGTTTTTGAAAAGTTTACAAAGCCTGAAAGAATCTRGATTTGTTTTAAATTGAAAACATATACTGTGGTGAAAAAAAAAAGCACAAATTAAAATAAATAAAGACCTACACAATGAGCCACCTATTGGCAATTACAGTGTGAACCTGTCTGGATCAAGGCAATATCGACAGTGAGAAGCCATGGTAGCAAGAAAAGCCCCGTGAAAAGCACACACCATGAAAGGAAAGGGATTAATTAGCAGGAATCTCTTCAGTTGTTGTTTGTCAAAAGAATGGGGAATGGGGAGCTGCATCCTCGCTCAACCCCAGTTTGCAGACTGTCCTTCAGCTGCGCTTCACCTGAGCACCCGGATTTGTTTGCAGATGCCACACTGCCACCTGAGGAGCACCTACAACAACTTAGAGCTCTAGCTCCACAGCACCCTCCGCTCAGCAGACAAGTGTGACACCGAGCACAGCTCTCAGGAGCAGCTCAGGGCAGCTGAGGGCTCCCTCGGGGAATGAGGCTCCCCACCAAAGGCAGCGGGAGCGTCTCCCATTCCGGATGTTTACCCGGGAAGCACAAGACTACCTTGCATTTTGAGACTCTTTGATCCTGTAGAGGAGACCTGCGTTGCTCCTGAGAAGGTCCAGTTGCCCCTAGGGGAGAGAGAAGGGCATGGGAGTTGTTTTTCCTTCAAATAACACATTTCAGAATACAGCAAGCATCTCCTAAACTATTTCTAAAGCCTTATTTAATGTCAGTTGCATAAAGCAATGGAAAACTAACGCTTCGGACCACTAGAAACAGCGGATGTTTCTCCCCAGGGGTGTTTTCCTCTGCAAGCATCCGTTTATCGTAGCCTTTCCCCACAACATCTATGCACATCCCAGCTTTCACCAGGCATCAGTCCCAGAGCCATGCACTGTGCTCCAGCTAAAGACGTTTTGCTGGTAAATAATAATAAACAGAGAAACTTGCTCAGTTTGGACTCTTTCTAGGACTCCTCTTCCCAAGGGGCCAAGGGCCTCTCCTTTCCCTGACAGGAAGCACGGGATACAACCTTTTTCCCGCCCCGCCAGAGTTGCTCTCTCTGCTGCATCCCATGCTCCACACAGGCCTTCCGTGCCACCACGGGCCTCGGAGGCAGCTCCGTAGGGGACCCCTGTGCACCCCGAGCTTCGTGACCGCGGGCATTCAGCTGACACAGCGCGGCGGCGGTACCATGGAGAGCAGGCGGTTGATGGCCACGGCCCGCTGCTGGGCCTCCATGTGGGGCATGTCGTTCTGGATGACCTGGTCCGTGATGCCGTGCGGGAACTGGTGGCACAGCTCGAGGATCCTGCGGGACAAGGGGCGCGCTCAGGCACCGGCGGCCGCGGGGACGGGGACGGCGGCGGCGGCGGCTCCGCACCCACCTGTTCTCGATGTCCACGGGGTCGGGCGCCTCCGGCTTCACCTTCACCTCCGCCATGGCGGCGCCTAACGGCCAACGGCCGCCCCGCCGGGGCGCGCGGCGGTGACGTCAGCGGCAGGCGCCGGTTGCCGGGGCCGCGGGGCCAATCGGCGGCGAGGGCGGGAGCCGGGGGGGCGACGGCGGGCGCGGGGCGCCGGGGGTACGGGCGGCGGCGGGGCGGGATGGCGGGGGCCGGCACCGGGGCGGTGTGGGGCGGGATGATGGGGATGGGGGAGGCCACGGCCAACACCAGCGGGAGGGGAAAGGAGCCCCCACCCCCTTGGGGCAGGTAACGGCCGCCCCGCGGGCCAACGGGCGGGCCAACGGGCGGGCCAACGGACGGCGCTGCCGGGCGCGCAGCTCCGCGGCCTCGCCCCGGGCTTGGGCGTAGTGTCCCGAGAAACCCAAATCCTCACCGTTTTCCAGCAAATAGCCATTCCCAAGACTTATTCTACATGTCTTTGCATTCCAAAATGCACCTTCGAGAGCAATTGTCCGCTCGTTCCATTTCCACCCCGCTGACAGTAAATCACGGCCACAAGAAACCAGGGGTGGCACCTGCTTTGTAGGGATATAGTCAACGCGTACAACAGGTCTTTTCCCCCCGCATCCATAGCTTTTTCCCCTGGCTAGGTGGAGATCGGAGTTGAGCAAGGAAGGCCCAGCTGAAATCAAGGCAATGGGAGAGTAACGCAAGGGTTCTGTTAGTCTGCAAGATGTTATTCTGTTTCAGTGTGAAAACTGTAGAAATATTGCTGGGAATTAGCAATTTAAGCAATCTGGTGTTCTCTCTTTCAAGGCAAATTTGGATGAGGAATCTCATTGAAATGCAACATTTCTTAATGCATTCTTCTATTATCAAAAATAACCTTTTTTTTTTTTTTTTTTTTTTTTTTTTTCTTGCTGCTTTGTTGCTTTTTCTGAAGATCCTCGTTGGGAAAAAAAATGACAGCGGGTTCTGTCTCAGTGCCACAGGTCATACCTCTCCAAATCCCTCTTCCTGGGAAGGCTAAACATGAAATAGACACAAATACTCCTGTAGAAATAAAGTCAGGTATAAATAACTGGTTTGACTCTACATAAAACTTCTCCTTATGTGATCATTTGAAACTCTTCTTATTAGCCTCTTTTTTCTTTTTTTTTAATATTTAATTGTGATCGTCTCTGCCTACTTCCTGAAGTGATTCACAAAATGAACCTCGGTGTTTTGATACTGTACATATACTTGCCCTTAAATTTATTCATTCAAGAAACATTGCCGTAATACTTGAGTTCATGTGTGATAGTGGTCTTACTTACTTCCAAAGTCAAGCTCTTAAGCTCTGTTATATTTTACTGACTGCAAAAATAGTGCTTGAAAATATCACATGCCAGACTCGCTCAGAAAGTCTTCCTTACCATTTTTGAAATTCTGTTGTTCATTATGGGAGAATTTTTTTTTTTCTGTCTTCAGAACAGACAAGAGACTGCCTTGTTTTCATACAAAACCCGTGCAGAGCTACTTTATGGAAAAAAAATCTCTTGTCATGACATTGTGTTTGTTTAGCCACTAGCTTTTCATGGGAGAAATAGTTTTGGTGCTGAACTTTACACTATTTTTTGCAATTTCTTTGTTTTGTTTGCAGGAGAAAAAACAAATATTGCATGAATATTTCCAGATGTAGAGTTTATTTTGTGCAGCTCTAATATGGTTTGGATACTTACTTTCTCTGTGTCTTTCAGATACCCCCGAAGTCACTATTTATTACACTTTAGATGGAAGCAAACCAGAAGTCGCTAGGAAACCTGGCTATGGAGAGCATAATACTTTTAAGTATAAGGAACCTATCGTGTTACCAGCTGGGAAAATAACAGTGAAGGCACTGGCAGTTGCCAAGTAGGTACCTTGCTGTGTTTTAGTAGTACCCTGGTAAGGACCAGATATCCCAATCTGAGCAAAAACCTACATCAGTTTTTTTTCAGAGCGAACAGTACCTAGTGAATGAGGGGCAGCTCGTTTTATCTGGATTATCTCTAGGATGTTTTTCTCTCAGGCCCTGAGAAAAATGATGATCCATGGAGGCTGTGGGTGAGGGGCTAATAAAATACGCTGGGCTTAGAGTTCATCCATTTGAACAGAATCATCAGAAAGGCTCGAGGAACTAGGGCAGCACCTTCTGCGGCTGGAAAACACCCGGTGATTCAGCAGTATGTTTCTATTGAGACATTTTTAGGTGGGATATAGATATGCTCTAGAATGACATTTAATAAAATCCTAAAWTAATGCTTTGAACACTTAAAGGCATTTTAATGTTACTGCTGTCACTTAATAAACAGTAAAGAATGACAGTTGTTACCTGAAACGAGTGTCATACTAACTGCTGCTTCCCAGGGAAAAGGAGTGCTTCCATAGGGTGTTTTGAATGGAAGGAAAATCTTGTTCTCTGTTTCTGTGATGCTGGCAAAGCACAAATTACCCGGGTAATTAGACACATCTTAAGGATTAGCAGGACTCTCATGTAAAAGCTCATGAGGAATTAAAGCATCCGTATGCCTTTTTGGTAACTTCTTAGCGGGTGAATATTAATGTTAAAAAAAAAAAAAAAAAGTGGGGAGGCGAGAAAACAAAGTGGTGGTTACTGGGGGTATTGCCTAAGATTGGTATTTGTTGAAATAATCACCTGCAAGCTTGGAAATGATTTTCCACCAGAAAATTGCCTTTCAGGGACTGCAGAGAAAGTGCCATCGTAACAAAGGTGTTTCTGGTAGAATACAAACTACCAAACAGCCTCTTCTCTGATGAAGAGAATGATAAGAATTTCCTAAAGGATCTCTTCATACAGGCAAGTGGCAGCAGTTGTGACCCATTATCTGAGCATAAAATGTTGTATTGCTTTACTTTGAGATTAAACTTTGGTCACATGTACTGTTTACATGTTGTATTTTCTCTCTTTGCCCATATTTCCTGCTTTATGCATTTTCATGATACTAACATTTCAAGGGAACATGGCTTTTTTTTCTTGTTTGGTCTTGCACGATCAATTCAGGTCATATATTTTTTAAAATACATTTATAATTCAAGCATTTTAAATGCTTGTAATTGAAAATCGATACCTGGCCATATACCTTTTGAACCATAGCAAGTAACTATAACAAGAGAGAACTAGGACAAAGATGACTACTTCTTTTGGAATTAAAATGGATTATTTTGTAGGAGAGTGCAAATGACGTGTTTACTACAAAGCCAAAGAAGAATGGAGTGAATGTGGAAATCAAGTCAGCCTGGGGTGAAGCTCCCCAAGATTTTCAAGGTATGATTTTACTTCATAATAACTGAAATAGACTTCTACCTTAGTTGCAAAGATAATGTAAGGACTTTTATATTATCTTAGGTAAAATATGGGTAATTTCATAACCATCTAGAGGACACAACATTCACTGGGAATTGCAGGTCAGATTTTTTGACACTGAGAAAACGGGGGAAAAAGACTCTTCATACATGTCTATGTTTCGCTTTGTGCCTGAATATCCTATTAAGTTGATGGGATTTCAAGTCCTTTAGAAGTTCCTTGCTGATGTTTGACTGTGCCTTGCAGAAGGATTCCAAGATAAATGCACAAAACAGAAATGAAAACTTGACCCGATTTTCTCTTTTAATAAAGACTGTTATTTCATGGTTGTGGCAATGGGACTTTTTAAGAGCAAGGAGTAATGTTAATACTCACTAATCTTAGGAGCTGTGTTGTGTTGCTGTTGTTTTCCGTGGGGTGTGAGAAAGAAGAAGAAAACCTTCAATTGAGGAAAAATATAAAAGTAAGCTATATCAGAGAGGAGTAAAAATTCTTCTGGCTTAACTTTCTATAATTCCACACAGTTTATTATTAACTGAAGATCTAGATGTGAAACAAGCTGTTTGAACAGGTGGAAATACACATGGAACTTAAAACATGACAGTACATTATAGTTCTGTTAACCTATATGTTAAATGCATGAAATGAATGAGAGTGGAATAATGGGATGAAATACGGTTGTAATTGTAGAGTTGGAGACAGAAAGGAAGGCTGCTCACAGGTCCCTGAAAGGACCACAGCCTCTGGAAACAACAGGATACAGAGAGGAATCCAGCTCAGTGCCACCCACAGAGTCTTTACAGGTAAGGAGGGAGCTGTGGAGGAAGACTGTAAAGGGCTGTTACCAGAACTGAGCTCTAAAACAATAAAGATGTGAAAAATTGGCAACATTCTCAATAGTCTGTCAAAGATGAATGCCTCTGGCTATACTGTACTATGTAGAATTGATTTGAACTTGCTGGTAAGGCCACACTGGAATGGGAATGCCCAGAGCAGTACATCCATAGAGAGAAAACCAGGCAGAGTAGACTACCAAAGCTTGCATCCCTAACAATTCTGTTCTTATATATTACTGAGCTGCAAATAATAAATAGATATTCCCATAGGTCAGTCAGCCGATATTTAAAACTTAAGATTCAGTCATTCTCTCTTCAAAGTAAATAGAAAGATCTGTGTATTTTCATTGGAAGAAGTTGTATGTCATTATTGGAGCTAATAGAGGAATCGAAGTGAAGTGGATACTCCTTAAAGCCCTGCATTTCAGTGCACTTTGTCTCRAACGATGGGTCTGCAGCTGATTTTGCTAGCCTTGCACGTGTTTGCCAGTGTCAGCTAATTAATGCCAAAGAATTGCCTGTATTTCAGTTCGCTAGTTCTTCTGCAGTGACCAGCCGGAAGAGCCTAGCAAGCACACAGACAGCAAGAATCCAGAAGGAAACGGATTTCCTCAAGTAAGTGACCTTTCCCTTATAATGTTTTTGTCTGTGGAAAGTGTCAAAGGAATTGCCTTTCACAACCAGGTTGATAATACCGTGAGGTTTCACAAAAACAAAGAAAATGGACTTTGAGCCAGTGTCCAAAAGATGGAGACTGACTCGTAACAAAAGAACGTGATTGAGTTATCGCTTTGAAAATTCTGATTTCTCTTACTGATGGTTGCATTCATTTGTCATTGTACAAAGCCATCATCTATCTCATCATCCTTTAAAAAAGAACCCAAAATACTAATATCTGCAGGATCAAAAGAAAAACTATGTTTCCAGCCTGCAGAGTGCAGCCTTCATTGCTCACTAGTTCTGAAGGAGTTATGTTGGTTTATCAGTGGTATCCTATATTGCAGCAGCAAGGCCTGACACAGATCTCAGGTCAGGGAGCATGTTTCCTCCTATGGTGAGGAAGAAAAAGAAATAGCAGCAGTTGTTACGTTTTATACCTTGCAAGGCAGCTTAGAGTTCAGGGCCCTCTTATCGAGAACACCAGCACATGGCCTGGTGGACCACCATAGCCTGGAAACCATAATGTGGAAATTACTGGGCTAGGTTATGTCCCAGGTTACTCCAGACAGTTTGTGTGTGTTTCCAGGTGTGCTTGCTGTTCTGTACCTCGCCCGTCCGACCCCTGGGCTCACTTCTGTCAGGAGTGTGGATCTCCTATCCCACCCGTGCCAGTACGACGCTTCCCAGCCCCCAAAGGAACACAGGTCAGCAAAACCTCATAAAAACCAACAAATCCTCTTCAGATAAACTAGCTTCCTCAGCAGATTACCCAGCTATTGCCATGGATGCCTCTATTTAGTAATACTTTAATCTGGAAAGTTCTGGTTGCCCCATTTTGTTCAGTAATCTTAGCATTTGAACCAATTTAATTTTTAAGTAGTTGGACACCTTCCCTCTATTCCCTCTTAGGAAATTCACCATTAATTGCTTAAAGTGCCRCATGTTTTAATAGGGATTACTTTGCAAAAATAATTTAGATTTGATAATTTTGTACCAGGGAACGTCCCCAAATTCAATCCCATGATCGTAGCCTTCACTGCAATTAGCATAATTATTATCCAACATTAATGGCTARTCATGATATGTCATAACTGTAGAATACCATCTAACATGCCTAAAGACCTACATGGTGCCATGTTTGGGCATATTGTTTGCACCTTGTTTGACTGCCTTTATATAGTGATGCCTTTAACTGTCCTAAGATCTTCCCAAAAGATAATAACCCATTCTTATGAGCCAATGGTCTATTTTTGTGTCCTGTATCCCTAGAAGGATGTTTTGTCTGGTCCAACACTGTAGTGTGAAATGGTGATGGAGGATTATTAGGAGGATGTGAACTATGTGCACACATACTATTACAGCATTTTTAATTACTGAAAACWAAGTCAGAGCCTTTCTGTAACATTTTTAATAGTAAAGCTTTCTCTCTCCAATTGTCTTCCTATTTTTTTTTTTTGGATAGCTTCTGATCTTTAAGGATCAATACCTCTTGTTGGCAGTAGCTGGTTCCAGTGATTTTGCTGCTGATGTAGACTCACCAACAAAATATTGAAAATGTCATGATAATTTTAATGATCTTGTTATGGTCCTTAATAAGATGTGATGTGGCTTTTCCTTCAGATGGCACCATGTGTTGAATGCAGATGCCTGGTGCCAATGAATACACCCACGTGCATTATATGTGAAGCACCTATAGCTCCACAGCTGCAGCCCCAAACCACCATCTGCTTAAAGGTATTTGAGAGTAATAACAGCAAAATAACCATTTACCTCCTACCTTCATTTTTCTAACTGTTGACTTTCATTTTGATCCAACTTGGGTTTGCCTAATTACTGCAGCTTTAAGTGTTGGTAGTATTAAAAATAAATAGAAATAGGGGAAGAGGAGGGTACTGAAAGGAAGCTACTGACTGAACAGTCTCAGATAATAAAGAAGATTCACAGTCTGAGGCATTTATCAGCCTGACGTCAAAGAACATTACAGGTATTGGCCCAAATTTAATGCCTTGGGGAGCTGAGGTAGGTACAAAGGCAAGCTTGAACCTTAGGGCCTAATAGTGTAATACTATTATTATTTATTTATTTATTTATTTTTAACCACACTTTAAACAAAATTGGCACCGATGGTAGGTTTGTGGGAACCAGGCAATGTGGCTTAACTAAAGTCTGAAGCCTGTAGCACTGGCTTGAAAGATCTCTTCTATCTTGCAGCACTCAAGTAACTGGGTGGTTTATCTTGTTATTGTTGGCTTTAAAATACCCCGTGAAATGCATTCTTTCCTATTTGAAAGGGCAAAGTCATTTGTCGGGCCTGTGGCACTGGAAATCCTCTTCATCATAGACACTGTGTGACTTGTGAAGGCAAACTGCCCGATGCACAAATGGTAAGGCTTCTTGCACCCATCATAATTGGGGTTAATCACATCAAGGCAGAAAATGTGTATGTATTTTTTTCCCTCTGGAAAGCTGAAGCCATATCCTTTTGTACCTATGTTGCAGAAGCAGAGAATCTTTCCTATATTCTAGCTCAGAATTCCCACTGATGCCCCATCTCAGATGTCCAGCTGCACATAAAATAAATGCAGCCTGTACCTTCAGGTTTCTCTTGTGGAAAGGCCATTCTCAAAGTCCAGAAAACAGAAAGTCCTGACTGAGTGTTGTAGGAAGTCATCTTTGTGTTCAGATTATTTTTCACTGCAGTAGAGAATTCTAGTATATACATCAGGAATGTCATTGACATTAATTTCAATTATTTTGTGGAAATTAATCGTTTCCATTATTTCTGTTATCTCCATTTGCTGCTCTCCCTGCCAGCATACAGCTGCGATGTTTGTATTTGACAATGACTCTGTCAAATCTGTCAAAAGAGGTGAGGGAAATGATAATGATCGATTCACCTAAAAATGCTATTTTCAGTTCCTGGTTTAGTTTACTAGTTTGGTTTATAGAATCATAGAATCGTTGAGGTTGGAAGGGACCTTTAGAGATCATCTAGTCCAACCCCCAGCACACACAGGGACACCCAGAGCACGTGGCTCAGGGCTGCATCCAGGTGGGTTTTGAAGATCTCCAGAGAAGGAGACTCCACAACCTCCCTGGGCAGCCTGTTCCAGGACTCTGGCACCCTCACTGTTAAGATAATTTTCCTTAAGTTCCTGTGGAACTTTTGGTGCTTCAGTTTGTGGCYRTTTCCTCTAGTTCTGTCRCTGGCCACCACTGAAAAGAGGCCGCCCCCTCCTCCTCACTGCCTCCCTTGAGGTGTTTATAGACACTGATGAAGTTCCCCCTCAGCCTTCTCTTCTCCAGGCTGAACAGACCCAGCTCTCTCGGCTTTTGCTCCTAGGGCAGATGCTCCAGGCCTCTGATCATCTCCGTAGCCCTGCGCTGGACTCTCTCCAGCAGCTCCACATTTCTCTTGTCCTGGGGAGCCCAGAACTGGACCCAGTCTCCAGATGTGTCCTCACCAGGGCTGTGTATAGGGGGACGATCCCCTCCCTTGACCTGCTGGAGACGCTCTTCTTAATGCACCCCAGGATCCCGTTGGCCTTGGCCACCAGGGCACCCTGCTGCTTCATGGTCAACTTGTCCTCCACCATGATGCCCATATTCCATGAAAAAAAGATAATGCTCACTCCTGGAAAAGTTTTACATAAAGCCTTGTGATATATTTCTTTTCACCAGGTTGTGATAAATGTAGAGATGAAAGAAGAATGATTTGCAAGTTAAAATGTTCTGATTATAATGGCAACATCCTGAGTTTTTAAGACAGTCCGTAGCTAGTTGGAAAGGTCTTTTGCACAGGCACTAAGATGTCATTTCAAAGTGAATTTTGGAAGGAATCTGCGCTTACAGAAAATAAGCACATATGTAAATGCTTTCCTAAATGTAAATATGCAGGTATGTAGACTTGTGAGCTTGTAAATTTTATCTTCCAAATGTGAAATAATAGAAAACCTTTTCAAATTGTCATCAAGGCCGCAGATGAAAAGAGGGCTGTCCAGTGTCTTTTCAACTTGCTGTTGTGATATGTCATCTTCAGACTCTGCTCCTTTTCCATAGTCCTGACTTGCAGAGGAAATAAACTGCATAAGCCCTGAAGCAAAAGCTAGGAAAACATTTTAAGACGTATTCATACCATCTAAGATCTATAATCACCCTCTGGAAGTCTCAACTGAAAAAAAGAAACTCTTTTTGCTTATTAATACAGACTAATTGCRGTAAGGAAATCTAGCTAATATATAACTATATGAGCAAAAGAGTGCCAGAATTATGTATGTAGCAAATAAAATATCAAACTGAAAAAAAGCTCATTGTCTCTGAACCCACCTTCATTGCCAAATTGCTGCATGGACTTGAAAAGGTACAAAAGAAAGTAACCTTTGAGGTTTGGGCCTTGAAAAATGTAAGTTTATCAGTAGAGAAACCCCATCTTAGTTTCCACTTCACTTTTATGTGGGGCCATATTAATAAGTACTCATCTGAAGGTGACACAGTTGATAAGAGGATAACTAAAAAGAGAAGCAATTGAATTAATATTATGTTTATCTGTGGTTTTGTAATGAGGAAGATACAGGCTGGAACAGAAAAGTCAACCTACTTATTTGTTGGACAGATTCCTTTAGGATGAGTTTTACTTTGTGTTAGTATTATCAGAGTAGCTTACTTTCCCCTTCCCCTTGCTTATCTTGCAGACTTTTCTTTAGATTTTCTTCCTGACGTTTGTTTTGTTCTCTTAGCCCCCATTTAGAGGAGACACCCCCCAAACTTTCCCCAAACAGCAAGGGAAGGCGATTGCCTGCTCAAAATGCAGCCGGGTGAACCACTGTGATTCCAGTTTCTGTGACTGGTGTGGAGCCAAGGTAGGTTCAGTACAGAGCCTTTGCTCTGCTGAGTACAATCAGTGGAAAAACTTCCTTCTGGAATGCACTTAAAAGGCATAGTATTTTGGCTAAAATACACCCAGGACTTTTTTTCTAATGAACTGAGTCTACATAAAATTGCACATAACCATTTGGCCCTCATTTTATCAAGAGGACTCTAGAGGGATTAGAATAGAACTGGATTTTGTTTAACAGTCAGTATCAGAGCACCAGATTAGTAATGACAGGGTTACTGAAGGAAAAAGTTGCCAAAATGCTAGATTTCTCTGACAAAAAAAAAAAAAAAACATATATATATATATATATATATATATATATATATATGCCTCTATGGCATAGAGCTGAGATAGCTGAAGTTTTACTCTCTTGCATCTGCCAATGTGTTAGTGGACTGGCGTCCTGGTTAACGTTTCTAACCTGGTACCTTTAGGTACAGTTGTTTTAGTTCCTTTTGATTCATGATGTTGCTTTTATCTGTCTTGAGCATCACATGGTGCTGTGGTGACAAGTGTTTCCCTGAACTTTCCAGCTTGGCCCTGCTCCGTGCTACTTTGCTTGCTTCATGTGTGGGACCACCAACCAACCATACGCTCGGTTCTGTGGGTCCTGTGGTGTTTATATAGAGCCCCAGGCAAGGGGCATTACTCGGAGCAGCACACTTACGGCTGCTGGGGACTCGCTGGTCCCCTCTGAGGTAAGACACATGCTATTTACAAAGCCAGGTTTTGGCCACATTTAAAGGAGGGGCTAGTCCACTGATGGTATAAATTAATGCAACTCCATTGATTCCCACTTTGGGACAATGAGATGTATTGAGAGTGATTTGTGGGCAAAACAGAGCCTGTGTTTATTCTGAGAATTGTTTTCTACAGAAATATACTCAGCCTTAGCTGAAGGCCTTAATCCAACCTCGTTCTAGATAACAAAGTGAGAACCAATCAGCTTTGCAAAGCCTTAGCTCTTTAAGTACTTCCATCTGATTAGTCACAAATTATTTGTGTCCTGCTAATGCAAGGTATTCTTTCATGCAGATATAGTATTGCTTTCTAAGCTCTGTTGTAAAAAAGGAGCATGATGCTTAGCAAGGTCAGCATGTAGATAGCTTGCTGTACCAAAACATGCATCAGCTTTGGTTTCTTCATGTTCTTTGCTCTCTTCACATTGTTATTTGGGTTTCTTGAATCAAAAATAATATAATAGAAATTGTTATTATCTCTCCCTTCTAGCATTTTAATTCTTCTGCTTTTGCCTTTGTTGTTGTTGTTGTTGTTGTTGTTGTTGTTGTACTGTTCTGGTTATTTTGTGCTTGTAAGTCATTTAACACTCTTCCTTTCCTATCTCCGCTGCAGGCTAAAGGAGTCCAAGCTGAAGGTGCCTGGCAGCCTCTTCCTATTTCCTTGTCCAAATCAAGAGTGGATCTAAATCAAAGAAAAGATAAAGGAACCCAAACCATTGGACTTTTTTACCCATCTAGCAAACTGTTGGAGAAGAAGGAGCTTGAGCTAGTTTTGCAAAAAGAAAAGCTGGAAAAGATGAGTGATCATAAGCCTCTCCTAACAGCCATCAGTCCTGGAAGGGGTTAGAAAAAGTTATTAATTTTATGTAATTAAAAAAAAARCTCTTTTATACAAAATCAAACACTGTGGCTTTGGAAAGGTTATAGTCTGTCTCCCCACCAGACATTTGTAAATGCAAAAGTCAGATCACTGATTGAGATCAATGGCTAAAAAAGCATACTAGCAATAATCTAAATTAGGGTTAATGACTTTAATGACTCCTGTACAGCTTTCCTAGTTTGCTAGTAACATTGATCTCCTCAGGTCCTACAAGATTAGGCACTGACATGGAAACCTCTGAGAAACATCCCTGCACGGCAGCCAAGGGAGTGAGGTTCAGTTAGGGCTGCTGTACAGCTAGTGGGGAGAATGCTGGACAAAATTTCCTCCCTTAGAGACACTGGGAATCACAGCTCTTGAATAATATGATGGAGTTTGTCTCCATGAAGCTCTTGTTTGGGATAGCTTTGGGAAATACAGGATGAAGGTTTTGGAAGCAAAGCAAACTGAACTGGGGAATGGGATTCTTAACGGAATTTAAACAAACAATCAAAAAAGGGTTGGTGGAAGCCTTTCCAGCTCTTGTAGTCCCCATTTTCCCCACCCATCCGCATCATTTCTTGCAGAGTAAGATGGTCCATGCAGAGGCTATTGCAGAATATTTTTTCTGCACTTGTTGGTTTGACCACTCAGTTGTTTGTTGAATCTTATCTCTTTACTGTCATTAAAAAAAGCACACAATTTTTAGAGATTTTAGTTTTATTCTCCTGAGAAAATTCCTATTCCAGCCTCCACAGGCAATCTGTTGTTATTAACTGAAGACATAATAAATGGCATAATTTTCAGATTGTCTTTAATGTCACTAAGCAGTTGTAGAGTCCAGAGTATAGGTTTATTTTGAAGTGCTACAGCATCAAATTGTAGTTTGGAGGCTCAATTACTTTTTCTGGTTGGCTTTCCCATCCCTACCTGTTTTCTGCAATCAGAGGTCAACCCTGAGCTCAAAAGATCAACCAGAGGTCAAAGAGGGTCAACCCCTTAGGGCATTCTCCGTTAGTTTTATGTTCTGTAGAAAAGGCACTAATGAATGTTAAAACACCCTGGTTTGGCTCTGTGAGCACATATCCAGATGATGATTTTTATTTTTATTTTTTTTAATTATAACTGGGGCAATCTTTCCTTCTCCCTTACTCTGAAACGGGGAGTCTTCCCTTAGAGACATCGCTGTAGGAGAGGCCACTTTGGTCACGCTGGTGTCAGACATTCTCCATTGGACCCTGAGGAATATAGAGCATATACATCTATTTCTTGATTTCAAATAAGGCCAGATACCAGATACTATTGTTAAAGATTTAAAAAAATCCATTAGAAATGCAAATGATTTTTGCAACATTGTACTGATTTCTGCCTAGAGTGGTCTGGGATTCTCCTTCCTCCAGGGCCAATTTTGATTCAAAGGGAAAATTGAGGCATGGCTTTGTTGTGAACAAAGGTGCTCTAGCAATTAATTCTGACACATGAATAAGACTATTTGAGCATATATATATATATATTTTAAGCATAGCTTGCTTATCATTTTCTTGATAAGTTGAACCTTCTTGAAAAATTCAAGTTTTTTCTCTCAGTGAAAATATGGGATTTTTWAAAAAATCCTCTATGATATAAGTTGGAAAAAAAAATATTGCTCACAGTTTCAGGGGATTTTCTCCTGCTTAACTCCCTCTGATCAGGTTACTGGAGAAAACAGCTGGATCACGTCTGCGCTCACCTTAGAAGCTACGCACAGAACAACCGTGAATTCAGAACACTGATTGGAGAACCTCGCATGGGAAAGGTAGGAATTTGCGAGTAGTATCTCCCCATTTGGTGTGACAGAAAAGAAAAAAAACAATCTCACAAAAGAAATTATTCTAGCACTAGTTTCTATTCTCCTCTCACCTCACAGTGATGCGAAAAATGCTAGAAGCCAGAAAGCCCTCGCTCTGCTGCCTTTGCCATGTTTACAGCAGGCAACTGGGAGGAGAAAAGAGGACCCTGACATCTGGGCAGCCAGGCACTTAAATGCACCCTGCTAAAATTGGGGTTTAGATGCTGTTTGCCTCTGCTCATGGCTGTTTTACACCAGCAGATAGCAGCAAATCCCTTTGGTCTATATAGCCCATTCCTGTTGCAAACTAGCCTGGGAGAAGTGTGTTCAAGGCAGTTGGCTCTTCAGGCTGGAGATCTGGTCTCCTTAGGCCACCAAAACACATTAACATAATTAAAGGGGTGATAATGAAAAGGTGAAATTTGAAGGCTCTTCCTAAGAGCCCTCAGAGATGACGGGGGAACAACTGAGAGATCATTTGGTCCCAGTTGCACTGGGGACTCTGCTCTGCCTAAACTGTGGCTGACAGATGATTGTCTTGAAGCTTTTAAAGCTCCCCAACAATGGGGATTTCACAACAGCCCCTGGTGGGCCCGTTTCTGCACTGGGTTCCCCTGAGGTTCAGCCACAGCATCGTGTTGTGTTCATGCATGGAAGCAGAGGCAATGCTGGGAATGCCGTCCGTTCGCATTGCCATGGAGAAAACATGTTATTATCAGCTGTAGAAAAACTGCTGTACCCAGGAACGCCGGGGCGAGGGTCAGGAGTCTGCTTGGTATCTGGCAAATGTCCCTTTTGGGAGGTATGACATTCCGTTGGATATTTTGCATCTGAATTTTACATCCACTCAGACCTACGGGGTCCACCAGCACATTGAGAAGCTGTAGCACTAACATAAACACAAAAGCAGTGTGCTTGATGGAGCTGAGGTACAGGACCCATGCAACGTGTTTTCTCTGCTAGAGGTTTCAAAAGGAAATGCCTGGAAGATGTTAAATTGCTTAGAGAGAGACTGTACCCCTGCTGCTTCTTGGCCTGTGGTCATCCTATTGTCTGGGAACATCACTCACAAAAGCAACAGAAACAATTCAAAGTGGATGCCAGCACTCTGGGTTTAATGGTTCCATGGGTGTTTTCATGCAGATTAAGAAATACAATCAACATTATCAAAATCTCAGTCTGCTACAATGTGCCCTTGTCAGCTTCATACCACTTTTAAAATCCCCCACATGCTTTTTTTTTTTTTTTTTTTGTAAATTATCTCAATTCCCTTCCTGCCAGCATTGCTATCCAAACAAATTCATCCAGAAAGGTGCCCATATTTTACTACAGACTGTGTTTCTACAGCTTGGTACAACTAAAGCAGGTAAGAAGCTCTTCTGGAGTAGAGAATCCTAAGGACTATATAGCCTTGCATGAAGTCTGGATGGAAGAAAGCTGCAGTTGTTTGAAGCGAAGCTGTAGCTTATCTGTTGGTATAACTGGGCATTTCTGGAATTCTGATATCCCAATCACTCAAAATACCACCTGCCCCGTTTCCAGTGAGATGAGAAGTGGTGGTTCCTTATCCCAAGCAAACGAAGATCGACACACAGGATTTTTTTTATTATTATTATTATTTGCTTGCTGATACCCTCACTGATGGTAGTTATGCCTAAAACTATTTCAGTGTGCTTTTGTAAGTGATACTAATGGTTCTCTTTCCCTCTAGATTACATCTGCTGCAGTTCATGAGGATGGCTGTGAAGTCACTATTACATTAAATTATGCTCTTGCCCTTAACAAGGTCAGTTTTGGGGAGGATGGGGCCCTTGTTAGAAAGCTTGTCAAAAGCTGTCCATAGATTTATGTGCATAGTACTTGATATGTTTTTAAATTCAGGGTTACTCAAGGGTTTTTTGTTGTTGTTGTTGTTGTTCAGAGGGTGCTAATTCATCACTGCAGTGAAAAGAAGTTGTTTCTATTAGAGGTGGTCGAACAGGGATCTTTATCTGATTAAGCCAGGCCTCACAGGTTACAGTGCTGCCTTGCATTTCACGAGTTTGCTCTCATTATTATTAATATTCTTCTTTAAACTCATGTTTGATCATCCTGGCATCTCAAAAGTTCCTGATATTTGGCCCTACTTTTTTTCATTTTGCACGRTGTGCTCAAGCTTAGTAATTTTGAACAGTTTGGAGATAATTGCTAGAGCTCCCGCTAACAATATTCAACCATTCAAAATACCTACCTCCAGCATTAGTGTGTTCCAAAAAACGCCCACATAAAGACCACTTTGAAATCTATCATTTCAAAGATCCAGAATTCAGACTGTATCTTTTGTGTAGAATCTGAAACAGGTTACCTTGTCAAGCAGTGCCTGAAAAGGTTTATCGCTTCATTTGACAAGCGAGGAGTTAATCAGATCTCTCAAACTAAAGAGWTGCTTTCCTTTGGAGGTTGATCTCATAAACATGAGGTTGTGTCACTTTTAAAATCAAAAGAAACATGTACTTGAAGAAAAATCGCCTGCATTATCTTGCCTCAAAACAAAAAGCACTTAGTTATAGGTAGTCATGTGTTTTCTGCCAATTTGAACCTGATATATATTAAAAAAATAGGTTTTTACTATCAATGCCTCTGGTTTGTGCTACTGAGATTATTCCAACATCATCTGATAATCTGATTAAATGCCTGCCTTTGATTCTACAGGATTCTCTTGCCAGTAAACCAGGGAAGTTCAGCAACCATGACCTGGGCACCACAGCAGAAGGCAGAGCTGGACTGGATGGCAGCCCCACGAGTTGTGGTGGATTTTCTTCCTTTTTATAGTCAACCATAAATTTAGTAGTGAAGAATARGGAAGTAGTGCTCAAAAGGTTAAAAATTCCACACTGGGACAGGCAAGACTATTGTATTGGCATGTTCTGTACCCACTTAAAATCATTTCAAAAGTCTCAAAACGTGGCTGAGTTTGGATTTAAGCAATAAACAGAGGCTGTCAAAAGCTYACAAGCGCGTTTCATCCCTAGAGCACAGCTAGAAGGGCCAGTAAACTGCAGCCACAGCTCACTGCAGTGTTTTTAGTCAAGTGATAAGACTTGGGACAATTTTCCCATAGAGGCTGTAAATGTCACTCTCTTCTTTACTTTTGACCTTTGCTAGGGACTAAGGTTTTGCTACATTTGGCAAATATCAGAGACAATTAAATATGTTAAATCTAATTTTCAGGGATGCTTAACTTGTGTCTTCCACTTGCGGCTCATATTGACAACTCTTTATTTTAGGCAACTCCTCTGGGACTCTACTTTTCACTGAATSAACTTTTAAGGTGTAAAGACAGGATTAGAATTCAGCAATTCCTGAATCATTTGTCATAATCCAATTAACCTAAAAAATCCTGCTAGTTTATCCTTCTGCTCTGAAGCTTTGTAAATGGCAGCCAGGGCTCTAGGAGCYGTTTTTTAGAGTATCCATGATGTGACCATGATCCTAGGCACTTTAGCAGTACCAAAGGTTCTCCATGTGCTGCAATAATTTGCTTTTCAACCCTCCTACAGGTTGGTAAATCATATCTCTTACAAATAATGAACATATGTATCTATTCAAGGCCATGTAGTCATGGTCATGAGTATTTGTGAAGCAAACAGCTTTGAAAACATTGCTGGGATTTTGGTCAACACAGTCTATGAATCTGAGTCACAATTGTTGAATAGCAGCAGTCAGTTAAAAAAAAATAAAAAATAAAAGACTCAAACTCCCCCAAGTCCACACATCAATGAATCTTCATTTCAAAAGATCAGGTTTTGAAGTCTGCCTTAATATAAATCTTYGTTAAAGCCGGTTTGGTCTGCAACAAATATTTTATCACTTTCTCTCTTGTGAAAAAAAAAAAAAAAAAAATACTGCCTTCTTTTGAATGCAAAATAATAGATTTGGTGGGGGTGAAGGGAAGGCGAGGGCTAAATTTTTTCCAGATCTCTCTGCCTGAGTTCTTTTTAGGATACTGGCATTGCTCTGAATTAACGTTGCTTTCCTTTTCTAACAGGCGAAGAGGATCGTCATCTTTCACATGCAAGAGGCAAAATAAAGCAAACAAAGTTAAGAAACTTMGCAGAAAAGGAGGACAAGCTCCCCGTACGTATCTTCTGGCAACACAGCAAAACTTAGCAGTAGCACTGCAGCAATGTAAAGGAAGGCATCCAAGAGCATAAAAATGCTTTTAACACGGACTGTGAAAGTGGGCACAAGTCCAACTTCATATAAAACATGAACTAATGGGTGGCTGACACTTATCACAGAACTGGAACTAGCCAGCTCTGTTCCTACTCTGTATTAGATTGTCACTCTTATTTTGGGTCCATTCTGCTTTTACTGATAGAGTGTTAGACGTGAAGACCACTGCAAGCAGATCTTGTTACAGGCTTCTGTCAGAAGCACCATCAGATGGAGCTTTATCATCTTCTCGTGACCCTCACCCTGGTCCTGGCTCCGTAAGATGTGGCCTCGACTGTGTGAGATCCAGGCTGCACAGTCACTGAGTGAAGGAGATGGGGGAATCTGATCTTGAACCACAAGTCTTTAAGTCAACTCATTTCTCCACTCAGCTGAGATTTCAGTRCAGCTGAGGGTTACCTTAAGGCAAGGAGCAGGGCTTGCTTTCCCTCAGAGACCGAACACTGGGAAAGCACAGCCTGCTGAAAGGATTGTCAATAAGGACACAGAAAAATTTTTAAACTGAAGTTACAGTAATCTAAGCCTGGATTACTTGGTCAACTCCATGGGAACAAGAGAGTGAAGAGCTTTGATACTTGATTCCCAGGATAAAAATGTAACAGGTCATAGAATTAGGCTTGTGGGAGGGCAGAGGGAAGAGAAGGAATGGTGAGAAAGAAAAGGAAAAGCAGTTTTAGTTTTTGTATATAGTTAACTACTGATTWAAAAAGTTCATTTTCTAAATAAATTACTCCTGCAAGTTTTGAAGGTTTCAGACTTTCTTTGTACAACGAAGAAGTTASGCCCATGGCTAATTTTATTGTGATAAGTTGATCACAGCCCCAGGTAAATAAGTGGCTTTAAAGCTAATCACTTACAGAAGTGACTGCAAAATCAAGACTTCACCAGCAAGGCACTAGTCAGGGTCACCAAACATTTCCTCAGGTGCAGAAATTCTCATAGGTCACTCGAGGCTTAGTAATCCTGGGGTTTTACTGCAGCCTTCTCCTGGCCCCTTCAGGCAGCTGTTTTCCACCTCTACTCAAAAGCAAAATGTGGTCCACATAGTGAAAATACAGCCATCTGAGCTGCTGCTGGTTGATTTCTGTTTCCACAGTGTGAGTCCAGACAACTACAGGAAGAACCGTGTGCGAATGGGATATGAAGAACTGCTCTGGAACAACAATTGCTTGATGAAGTAAGTTACTGCTAGATGAAGTAAGTTGCTGCTCGCTTGCATTTCACCTTCTGGCCCGGTGACTGTTCACTGCATGAACATTAGCCTGGCACGTGACTCCAACCTTACATTTAAGAGGTAACATSTTTGTGCTACCACTGATGGGAGGTTGAAAGTGCTTAAGGCAGCCTCCCCTTGGTCTGACAGCAGCAAGCAGAAACAAAACCAGACAAGTTCTACTGTTTGGCCTCAAGTTCTCTATATCGGAAAGTCTAACCTCTCCCTTTTTGCTGTGTAATGATGCACATCCTGACCTTGGGATCTAATTTGTTACCCTTGTTACATAGGTTTAGCTTTGAGCTAAGTGGAGACACCAACCTTTTTAGCAGCAGCATCAATACCCATGTGAACATTTCCTTGTGTGAAGACYGTTTGCTAACTTGGGTGGGCATTACACTAAAGCCAAGTGGAAGCTGGGGACTCTTTATACCATCCTTTACCCACTCACCTTCGCTCTCCCGGCTCTCCTAGGGAGTTGATCCCAGCCGCATGGACAGCAGGACTGACCCCTTCCAGCAGGAGCTGCTCCTACCAGGCACACGGAGCTGCAGCCACAGGGAGCATCAGGCAGCAGCCAGGGCCGTGAGTGACCAAAGGCTCCCATCTCTTCACAGATTTCTTGTTCCTGTTCTTGTTCCTGAAATCTTGTTCACAGATTTCCTGTTTTAACCAATGGCTCTCTAAGCTGTACTCAGATTAGCTTATTTTACACTTTCAATTTAAAGCAGCCTTCAATGCAGCTTCTTGCCATAAATCATTTCATGCCTTCAAAAAACTGAGTTTAACCAAAAAAAAAAAGAAATCCAAGTCCCTGTTTTGCCTTTGACTTTTATTTAAAAATGCATCAACATGAGACAGCAGCTAGCTACAAACAGAAGCGAACACATAACAGGCATAATAAAGCGTCCTGGGACTTTTTAAAAAAGTTCCTAGCCTTAACCCTTCCCTGCCAGAACCCAGTGACTGATGGGGAACGCAGGGCCAGCAGGGAAACGCTCTCAAGGCAGAAACACCGACTCAAAGGGGCAACGCTGGGGCATCAGTTAAGACAGATGGCCGCGGCCAGCGAGAGGCCGCTGCGCCTAGAGGACGTGATGCTCGATTTCCCGACGGACACCCTTGGCGACTTCTTCAATCTCGGCCACCTTCTCGGAAATTTCCTTTTGCTGTAAGGAATAACAAATAGAACAGGAGGCCTGACTTACCCGCCACGAGGCAGAGGCCGAGACGCAGCGCAGCGCACAGCAGCTGGTCCCGCGGGAAGCGCCTGGGTAGGCGAGGGGGCCGCTTACGATCATGTTCTTCATGCGCTCCTTGTCCAGCTTCAGGAAGTCCTGCAGGGTGAGCTCGGAGACATCCTTCTGCAGGGCGAGGAAGGCGCAGCCGGCCGAGTGCTTCCCGTGCTCCTGCCTGCGGGGCGGCACGGCGCGAGCGGCGGGGAACGGCGGTTAACGGCGGGGAACGGCCGGTAACGGCGGGGAACGGCCGGTAACGGCGGGGCACGGCGCGCGGGCCTCCCGCCCCCTCCTCCCGGCCCGCCCCCGGAGCGGCTGCCGCTACTCACACGGGGTCGTCCTCGGGCTCCCAGCCCTCGAGCTCCTTGAAGCAGAAGAAGCACTGCGCCAGGTCGGGCGAGTTCTCGCTGGGGCAGTGCACGAAGCCCGCCGCCGCCATCTTCGGGGGGGACAGAGCGTGGGGAGCGGCTCCCGGCGCGGGCGGGCGCGGGCGCGGCGCGGCGCACTCACCTTGTGCGGCGTGCAGAGGCAGCCCTCGGTGAAGGGCCAGCCGTGGAAGGTGGCGAGGCGCGCGGGGAGCAGGTAGAGCCGCCACTCGGGCGGCAGCCGCTCCGCGTCCACCGCCGCCGCCATGGCGCCAGCCCGCGCGCGCGCGCGGGGCACCACGGGAGCGCGGGCCGCCGCGCGGGGCACCACGGGAGTTGTAGGCCCGCGGCCATGGCAGGGCGCGGCGGCCACGACGGGGCCTCGAGGCACCAGAACCAGCGAAAGCTTTTGCCCAAAAGCTCCACAACACGCGCGGTTTCGAGGGCACGCGTCCTTTCTCCCTCCTCTTGTACTAACATTTTCTTGTTTCAGTGACGATGCACATGCATTCACACACATAAAAACCCCACAACCTTGGCATCCAGGTCACTGCTCTTGAGYTTGGCCGGTTGCAGAACCCGCTGCCACTTTATTGTTCCCTCACAGATTAAAACCATTAAGCTGCTAAAACGGTGCAGGAAAACTGACTCCATGATCAGGGAAACTCGTTTATTTAAGATTCTTGGTTGTTTCTCTCAGTTTTTTCACTCTCCTTGCCCTACGGACGTGAAAGGGGGCCCTGGCGCTTGGCGGGTGCGTTGGTGGTCACCTCCAGGCTCTGGATGGCCCATTCGCATCCCCGGAGCTCGGGCTGCACCTCAGACCCGTCCCGACTTTTGCTCCAGCTGCGTCCCTGCCTGGGGGGAAGCAGCGGCACCCGTTCGCGTGGGCCCGTGGTTAGAGGTGCAGCTCCGGGCACGGGTCTCCGCATACAGAACCAGGGGATGGACAGCAAAATTGCAAAAAAGAAACAAAAAAACAGCCTGTGGCAGCTGCAGTGTTCTATGTCCCCTGGCTACAAATGTGCTGGATGTGTTGTTCCTGAAGGCAAAATACCAGCAACKAGGAGAACTTTAGGTTTAGCACACGTTCAACAAGGGAAGGCAGCAGGGAGGGCGCAGGACAAGGACATCTCTGTGCCCTTCATTGGGGATCATGTAACACACGCTCTTCACACACTCTTCRTTATTCCCATAATGGTTCCAGTGTCGCTGTGCTGACCGGTGCAGAGCTTTCCTGAAGTTAGCGTCCAACTATACAAAGCACTATCATATTTCCCTTCACAGATTCAAAACATGGTTCCTAACACAGCCGTCGAATCACAGAAACACTTCACATGATTTAAGTCTAGAGGTCCTTCATTTTCCATCAACCAAAAACCCACCAACAACAAAAACTGTGACACTTTCCTTGGACAGGTTTTAAAACTTGAGATTTCTAGAGCCCCCCTGACGTGGCAAGCTGTGTGCGTGGGGCTCTCCAAAACGATAGGTGCAGAAAGACACCTCATAGATACGTTCAGTCTTCCAGTGGTTCCAGCATGTCCCAGGCGGCCCCTGCTCTTGGAGGACACACGGCAGCGCCCTCAGTTTGCACAATGAGCAGACACCGCAGCGCTGTTGGCATCGTCGGTCCCAGGGGTAGAGGTGTCGGGGTGTTTCAGCCCTCTCAACATCCTCGGCCCAAATCCAGGGCAGCTCTGGGCTTCTCCCAGCACCGGCAGCTCAGCGGCGCAGCCGGAGGAAGAACGCGTGTTTGCACTCCTTGCTGTCTAAGGGATAGTACTTGTCATAAAAGTCCAAGATGTATTCTTCGGTCTTAAATCCGAATTTCTGGTAGAGCAGCATAGCGGGGTTGCTTGCGGAGACGTGAAGGGTTACATCTTTGCCCATGCAGGTCTGCCAAGTGGAGGGGGRAAAATAATATTAAGAAAAACATATACACACACAATGAGGGAATGAGAAAGCCTCTAGGGCAATGTGGAGGTGAAGAGTTTCGTACAGTCTGTTGTTCAAGTTACCCAGGAAATGCAGGGGGGAGGGGAAAAAAAAAAAAAAAACCAGGGATTACCACACATAGCAACAGCTGAAACATGAAGGGAACTCTCSCATTTCCCAGAGCTTTCATTTCTGAGAAAGGGGGCTGACCATAGAAGGGCCTTTTGGATTATAATTTGTCATCTTTCCCTTGCCAATTGCTAAATAATTGTTAATTAAAACTAATCTCAGTGTACAGCACTAATCTCAAATGCTTAACAATAATGGCCTGGAGAAAAGGCAGCGGGTGCCAAAGGATCCAAAGGATCGGGCAGGGCGCTCCTCCCCGCCTGCAAACAAAGCTGAACTCTCTGCAACTACRCTAGCAGCACCCAAGTACCCCAAGGCTGTGGCGCTGGAATTTCCATCTATCCCACCCACCTCCTCGCCCAGCCTCCGGGGCACCGCACTCACCTCTGAGAAGGCAGGGAATTCAGCTCAGGCAGAAAAAGACACTGCTACCGTTACCTTAAAGATTCCGGATTATTTACCTGGCAGTTCTCTGAGAAAGATGCCAATATAGTAATTTTTCGTGCGCTCAGTCATTTAGGAGAATTCTGTGTGTAACGGACATCGTGTAACTCTAAGTGGAGACACTAAGCAACACCCCATAGGAAGTTTCCATGATGATTCCGAGGAAAAGCAATTCTTGGACCCTTCAAATCTTGGCTCATGTCTAAGACGTGTTCTTACCGGGTGTTAATACCTCACACTCATTGACTGTAGTTAAGGCCAATTCATCTACACCAACATGTTCAGAAAACATAAAGGGCTGAATTTAAAATCGACGGCTTAGCGAACTAAGTGCCTCTATCACCATGTAGAGGGAAGAGTGATGGACACTGCAAAGAGCTTTGCTGCTAGAAGAGTTACCCTCAGGTGTCTTTGAGGAGCTACCCTCAGTGAAAATTGTTTTTCCAAGGTAGAAATCACTGTTCCTGAGGCCCTGCCAAGCACTCCTTACCTATCTCCAGCCAAATGAGTTGGAGTAAAAGCAACTTTTATAGTGAGTTTTCGCCAGTGCGGCTCCTCTTGACTAGAACAAGTTAAGGAATGTTTCACATCTGCAGCTCTGCCAAGAGATTTCAGGGAGTGGTAAAACCGTGGGCCCTGGAGAAGCACTGCTGGGTCCTGAAAAGGACATCTGTTTGTCTGCATCCCCGCTTAAAATTAAGCTGGGTTTCATGCAGTTGAATTAAGTAAAYGGAATTAAGGCCACCCGATGCCTGAACAACAGCTTTCATTCATGAGTTTAATGAAGTTTAACTGCTTTAATATCACCCCTTCAGTTATCTCAGATTAATTTTCCCCAGTGTCCCCGTGGAACAGAGCCCAGCACAAGCGCGTTTGAACAAATTTGAATGAGGCTGCACACGTTTCTTCTTTATCTTCAGCTCAGCTGGACCTGAACCAGCAGAGTGGAGGTGGGAAAAAAATGATTACGATCAATAAGTGATTTAGTGCAGCTACACAGGTCACAAAACAAGCCTCCAGGTTTAGGTAACAGAAGCTGTAATAGACACTAATTGAACCTAATCAATATTATATTTTCTTTTTTTCCTCTATACTCCAAATTTATGAACTTTGGACCACGGAAAACTGAATCCCAAAACAGTCAAAAATCTATTTATGCTGAATAGCTAACGAGCAAGGTTTTTGAGTGAATTCGCCCTGTAAATGTTCAGGTGGGCTGGTGACTGTGGATAGCCTGTACAAGTGGATGAATAAAGAGAGTAAGGGAACAGAAAAAGGAAGGAGCAGGAGAGCATGATTTCCACTGTGCCATCTGCATGCGTGCCCACAAGGAAGAAGGGAGAGCTAGTTCTTTAGCGGAGAGCTAGTTCTTTAGCAGAGACACAGGATCTTTTCCGTTACCTGGATAAGATGGTAGATCATGAAGGTTGCAATTCCAGCTCTTCTCCACTCGGGGTGGACGAGCAGAAAAGAGATGTAGGCCTCGTTGTATTTCACGTCTGGTACCATAAAGCCAAAGGCAATAATAACTTTTTTGTAAAGAACAACAACGCTGAAGTCTGGGTACTGCAGACACTCGGACAAATCAATTCCTGCAGGGAGAAAGACCAACAGCAGTTGAAAGCATCGCAAACAGAAAGCAGAGCAGGCTACACGATGCCATCCGTGGGTGGAAATAACAGTTATTTAATTCTTTCCTTCTGCCTTTCCTTTAAAGCTCTGTAATTCTGAGATGCTTCAACCAAACATGAAGTCAAAACAAGACTTCTGCAAATGATATCATAGGTGCTGGACTGGCAAAGGAGAGAAGCCTGCTTGAAAACGGGGACAAAGTTGATTTCCTCTGAAAAGATCTCAGGATGGAACTATAACACAAGAAGTCAGTTTTAAGGAATGGTTTAATAATRATAATAATCGCACAATCTCAGCATCCAACTAGTCTTTCCCCAGTTTGTACTCTTGAGCCATGCTTGTAGACTCTGTTAAGGAGCCAGTTATAAATATCCATGTTGGCAAAGATACTTGCAGGTGCAAATGTGTGCTGGGTTATGCCCTGTTCCACCCGGGCCAGGGCGGCCTCCAGCCTCACTCCTCCAGCCTGCAAAGGCCAAGGAGCTGCCTGAGGAGGGGCGGCCGGGGGATGCGGAGCACATCCATCTCCAAGCCCTCCATCTCCCTCCATTGATCTCTCCAAGCCCTGTGGACACGAGGCTGGGCTTCACCACCAGCATGAGCTGCCCAGGCTGATGCAGCCCTTCTCTCCACCTGCCCTGGAGCTGCTTCCTCCTCCGGTGCTGTCCGAGGAGCTGCACTGTGAACTCGGGCAGGGAATTCACCGCTRTCAAAAACCGTTCGCTCTCAGCCTGCTCCTTCATCTGGGCCGTGAGGCAGCTTCTCCCTTCAGCCTCCAAGCRGCAGTCACTGATGTACTTGGAAGGTGAGATAACAAAACAACAGTTTTTCCAGTGGCCTTTACCACTCCCCCGAGATGCCAGATTTCCCAAAGCAAAGCAAGGGGCCCAAACGAGCAGCTGAATTAACTTTCTTGCTCGAGAGCGAACTGGGTGGAGTGTGTAAGATGTGGGAGGAACTGATTGGCAATAGGGAGCAGCGTTAATTATCTCAAGGCTGCAGTTGACTGCAAAACGCCTCAGAGCAGGTCTGTACAGGAGCCCTACGTTGCTCCAAGCGTGCTGGTGGCAGTGAAGAGATTTGGAAACTCTGAAGATTTGGAGGAAAAGTGTTAAGAACTGAGGCTTGGACTCTCCTGCTGAGTGCCTAAACTTTAAAGAACTCAATCAATGAGAGAAGGTTAACTATTAGAAAACATCAGGGTGCATCTGGGATGCAAAATGCCTCTCTGAGCATCTTTCCATCCACTGCTATAGCAGCCATGCATCACAGGTGTCTCAAATGCTGAAACTCAGGTGAGATCAACCTGTAATTTTGACAGCTCTTGGAGCCGTGGTGCTGACTTGCCCAGGCCCTCTCAGCCGCGTGGCCGGTCCCAGGCACGGCCTCCTCAGCAGCACCAGCCCTCCGCTTTGTGCAGCCACGTGATTAACGGGCTCAGAAAACTCTTTCAGGTTAAAATTAACCCAGTGAATAACAGTGGATTATTAACATGTTCACCAGCCGGTTCATAACGTATCACTGTACTGGTACAGCCACGGTAGGTCTGGGGAAAGAAGGAGGGGGGAAACTGCTTCAATCAGTATTTTCTGCTCAGGAGCAGCACCTGGGAAGCCAAAGCCTCTGTGTCCACACCACCCTGGGGTTGCTGTAAGCCCCGTGGTCCGTCTTCAGAGCAATTGCTTCCTCCGGTCCCTCTCCACTGGCACAGACCCAGGTGCAATTGCCGCAGAATCCCAGCCTCAGAAAATGTGTACCAAGCAAGAGAGCCTGGTGGCAGTGGCAGCCTTCCCGCCAGAACCGGGCAGGAAAGTCCATCGGGAGTGGCAGCTTTCCCGCCGGAACAGGGCCTGTCTATCGGGAGCAGGATGCAATGCACCCACACTCCTCAGCTTGAGCAGGACAGGGTGAGTCCCCAGGGTGCCACCCTACCTACCCCGAGCTTCTGAAGCAAACCAGAAGGGAGAGGCTGTGACAAAGGGATCCAGCTTTTGTTACAGCTGCAGCATTTTGTGCATTTCTGGAAGAAAAGGAAGCCAGGCCAAGGTTCTCCCTCTGAAATGTGCCATTTGGACAGGGAAGAGCACAGAGAGCTCCGATCCCAACTGCAGCTTGTGGGCGCTGCCAAACTACAAACAAGCTGAATCACTAACTGCTAATCAAAACGTAAAGCAAATGGTTGCTTTGAATAAAGGTGTGTCCTGTTTGCACTTGGCTTTTCCAAGTCAGTCCGCAGTGCTGCGCAAGCTGACCCATGCAGCAGGTGAACATCACTATTATTACAATTATTAATATTATTCCAGAGGAGCTAGAGACTACAGCCTCACAACTGCAGGCCTCCAGTAAGGAACAGACACTGTCCCAGGGAGCTCCCCATTCAAGAGAGGATGCAGAGGAATCAAGACCAAAGCTCTCCCATACCTTGCAAATACTGGGAAGTCTGCAGCAGTCAGTGCAACTCCCAGATTTCACTCTGGCCCATCAAAGCTATAACTACTAGGAAGAAACTTTCTTAGGAGCCCAGTAAACATTACAGACAAAACCGTTTCTTACTTTAAGGCCCTGATTCTGCAGAATATATAACTTGATGTTAGCAGGTGTTGACTCCTGCTGACATCAATGGTAAAACCCTAAATGACCAATTTCTTTAAGCGCTGTGTTAATTAGGGCCCTATTGCCCAGTTCTATACGATCTCAAAAGACAAAGACACCAATTACACGTGTCCATCCCAGCTACATTTCTACAGACACCAGACAGTGGTTTTGTAAGAACTAAATCAGACACAGACTGAAGAAAACTTTGGCTCAGTAACACTTATTTTCTGAAGAAAACTACTTCCTAAAAATAAATAAATTTTCAAATAAATAAATAAATAAAAACAAGCACTAAAGGAGTCTTACCAGGCCAGAAGAATTCGTGGCACATGGAGTTTATAGTGGGTATGTGATTAGGGCGAACATAGCAGTAATCGATGGGTGCTTCTGGCTCGGCCTTCCAGCTGGGATGAGTCCTGTGTGGATACGCCCGGATTTCTGCCAGCAGCCTGAGCTTTGGGGGCTTTGTCTCATAGTCCCGCCTGCCAATAACACGAACAGCCAACACAAAAGGCCAGTGAGCAATAGTAGCTGCTGCTGCCGCTGAATGGGTGCTGCCCATCAAGTATTTCTTGACATGCTCAACTTGGAACAAATCGACAGCATTCATGCAGGAAAACAGCACCCAATTCAGCAAAAAACCCATGCTGCATCAGAGGTCAAGATGATCCCCAGGTGCAGAGCACATTCAGCCAGCCCATCTCTAGAGGATGGCCAGGAAAATGATGGTTCTGACCCAAGAAGAGCTGTAACTGGCACTGAATGGTGCCCCACGGTGCCCCCCTCCTTGACTTCCCCTCTCTTAGACATTCCCCTTCCTGATGCTAGGCCACTTAGCTGTTCAGCTAAGTAAATCACTGTGCCTGCAGGGCTCCCATAAGAACTGCAGCGAGGCATAAGTGCCACTGCTTCCAAGAAAGTGTCCTCTCCGTGGGCTGCAGGGACACGAGCAAAGAGCAAATTCGGTCTCTGACTGCATGTACCTGATGTAGGGCTTCAGGACCCGAGATGTGTAAGGACTGACAATACTGTGGTCTGTCACCAGGTCTTCGGAGCCTACCAGTCGGTACAGAAATTTCGTCGTCTGCTGTCGATACCCCTTCAAGGCAGGCAGCACTGTCTGCATATGCAAATGTAAATAAATACAATCCAAAACACATCAGGAAGATTATCAATGACTTAACATGGAGAAATTGCATCAACAGAGAGAGAAAACAAAAGGGCTTTTGCAATAAGGRTTTCCTTCTGTGACAAGATGGTGTGCACCTACAACACGGTGGTCCCACCCAAAACTAACCTATAGGGCACTCTCAGATTCGAGTGCCTGRGCTTATGAGCTGCACACGTTGCTCTCTGCACCAAAGCTCTAAACTGACTAGTGCCCAAAGCTCCCTTCGATCCAAAACCGCTCACCTGGTATCTGTCCAAGATCCTGAAGTCCTGGCTGGTGGTTCTGTAGGTTGCTTGTCCCGCTTGGGCCCGGGGGCCACTTCCTTCTTTGGCTCCATAAATCCCATCGACCAGCAGCAGGGCAGCATTCACAACCTGGTCCAAGTCGAAGAGGGGCAGCCCTCTTTCCCTCTTGGCCTGCCTGACCAGCAGCTTGCGCCTCAGTCTCCGCGCCTCCGGGGTCATGCTGATGGCATTGGGACACGCTTCCAGTCTCTTCAGCAGCAGCTTTTCTTCATAGATACTCACAGAGACATGCTTGGGGGCTCTGGCTTTAGCATCCTTCTCCAGCTGGGCTTTCCTCTTGTCCCGCCCCCTTGCCTGCAGGGATGCATTGGGCTCCTCGGGATCCTCACCATCGCCTTCCATCCTCTCTGCTTTTTCTTCTTCGCTCTCCACCTCTTGCTTGATCTGCTCGGCTGTCTTCACTTTTTTTCTGCTCGTTATCCCAGCCCCAGCTGTTCCACTTGGAGGGGGCACATACTCTATTCCCGGATCTATGACTCCATCTCCTTCCATCTCTTCATCATCTGCTCAATAGATCAAAATAAGCCAGGAAGAAAATGTAAATATCGGAGCCCCATTTCAAAGAAGGTTGTCACAAGACTTTTCTGCTAAAGGAAAATAAAGCAGGTTTAGCCCAGATACTCCAGTTTCTGTTTAACTTTTGGTCCTCCTGATTTTGGATGCCTGAAAGGAGATACGTTAGGAATCCAATTTCAGGACACAGAATCAATGCCCCTCTTAAGCTGTCTTCCAGTTTGGTAGACAAAAAGGTTTGTGCACCTGAGTTGTAAAGCTCAAATTCCTCCACAAATTTTAAAATGTATTTTCATTTAAGTGTTTGCTTGGGAATTCCTGAAGATTTGGTATCAAATGACCAAGGTGGTAAATTAAGTCTTCAGCTAGTGTACCCAGGAGAAATTCAGTTTAATCTGAGGGAATGATTAGGAGTTACACAGGCACAGGATCGACCTGCCTAGAGAACTAGATTATTTTKTTTCTTTCCTTGCCACAAGAAGAGCTTTATTCTCTCCTTTTTTTCCATTACAATGAGATCTGGCTCCTCAAGGAACTATCAGCTTTCAGCCTCAACAAGTGTATTGTGACGTGACACAAATTTGACGCCTCTTAATTGGGACTGTTAATTGTCCATGTTTAAACTTACCAGACTACAGAAACACTGCTGTGAAAATAAAAGTCCAGCCATTTAAGAGGCAATGAAGGCAAAATTAGAGTTATAGAGCAGTGTACTTCAGGCTGCAATAAAATACTTGCATTGAATGCTGCAGCAATTGCTAGGTGAAATCCTCTGCCCACTGTTCTTCTGAGGCATCCAAGATGCCTTGAGAAGAAGATAGTGGTGGTTCCTTCTAGTCTCAGAAGCTGTGACTAGAACTATGAAAATCTAACCAAGATTCATATGCAGTTAAGACAAAACATAATTTTATCAGTTAGTTTTCATGTAGTCTTGAAAAAATCTTGCAGTCATTGGGAACTTCTCTTTTTTAAAATGTCTTGCTTGAAAACTAAGCTTCCTGTTAAACAAACAAAAGGAAAACACAGCATCTCTCACCATGAAACAGGGCCTGTGGTGGCATGACATCTGGGATGAGATCCGCTTCCGAAAGCAGGCTGGGAGTAGCCGAGTGTGAGGCTGGAGTTCCAGGAGCGGAGAAGTCCAGAGATGGGGAAGGAGACGGACTTGTCAGAGGGGTGCGATCCGAGGAGCTCAAGGAGGAAAAATCAATGACCTCTCCCTTCTCGAGGACTATGTCAGGGCGACGGCCTCGGCTGCTGAATTTCACCGGCGTGGAGGACGTGCTGCGGTCCAGGAAGCCGGCTGCCTCCTTCTGGGCTCGCCGAATATCCTTGGCTTCCTGCGTGCGAGACCTCTTCTCCTTCAGCTCCATGGCGGACTCCACGGGATTGCGGCTCACCCGTTTCCGAAGCCCTTCCACAGTAATGATGGGATCCAGGGGTGGCTTGGAAGCTGCTAAAGAAATAGTTTGGTCATTCTAACAGACACCGAGTCCCTGCAGTCACTATATACATACCATACAGTCATAAAAACTGGTTAGCTAAAACCCTTAAAGTTTGAAAATATCAAACAAATTCACTCTGAGGCTTGTAACAAAGTCCACTAAAACCTCCTCTTAAGCCCCAATCTTGCTCCTCTGCACAGGAGGGAAATTGCATCTAGTTTGGACAAAAGAAAAAAAACTTCCCAGGATAAAGAGTAAGCACGGAAATTATAGATTCAGGTGCACAAAGCTCAGAAGGCTTCAAATCACAGTTACAAATGCAAAGAGAGACTAATATAAAATGGACTGCGTCTCATAAGGCAGTATAGTCCTCTGAAATCACCCATGCCAGTAGAGCAGAACTAAGAAAAAACAGTGTTGTTATCCACACACACAACTACACTGTTTTAAAKAAACTTTTCTCATGTCTCCCAGCACCAGGCCCAGACAGGAGCCTCATGCTCATCCTGGAAATAGGTACCTTTTGCCTTCAGCGCGGATGAAGGCAGCTTCTCTCCTTCAGGTTTCATTGTTGGGGGTTTGTTATGAACAAGCTTCCACCACCCTGGTTCTCCAAATTCCTGTGCTCCTGAGCGGAAGAACAAGGGGCTTCCTACAGAAAGACAGCCGGCCACTGTGCTCCACCATGTCGAGGTCTTTTTCCTATAGAGGAACAAGGGAAAGAAGAATGATAAGTCACCCTTTGCTAGCTCTGTTTTTATCATGGAGCCTCCCGCCACAAAGATTGCCAGGGCCATGTGCTTTTGCCACTGACACCAGTGTCTGCTCATGTCCTCACGTATCCCCCAGGCTCAGAGAGATGAAAAACTCATGAGCTCCATCTCAGAGCACTGCTCTGAAGTATTGTATGATGTATGGATGGGCTCTGATCTAGAGTGCTGTGAAGCCAAGTCCTGCCAATGCCCTGCAACTACAGCTGAGCCTACAAAGGACAGGTCTGCCTTGCCACTGGAGCCCTGGTCTTTCAAGTACTCACACACTCGTTTAACTTACTCACCTAAGAGCTCTCTAATGACAAAAGAGCAGGAGCCCAGAGATAGCTGTGTTGACTCAGTGTTACATATTCCATTACTGAAGACAGCAAACAGGACTCAGGCTGCATGGGATGGGAGAGGCAAGGGGAAGATATAGGGATGAAAGTGTCACTTCACGCAGAAGGAAAGAGAACCGTAACGTAAATACCTGCCCTAACTGCCCTGACTCTGTGATTTCAGTCCAGTTAGCAAAACACGTGCCCAAAGCCTTTGGATAGGATCCCAAGGGCTGAATTCACAAAGATGGTTGGGATCAGATGGCTTCACTTTCAACTGGTCTCCACTTGCCTGAATCCATAGCTGCAGCCACTGCGGAGGAGAGGCAGCAGCAGGAGAAAGAAAACACTGAGGACAACGACTGGGGAGCAGGGGACGTCAAGGTAAGAGGGGGACAGCACAGGCTTGTCAGAAGCTCAGCTCTGCAGCCCTGTCTGTGCTGCTGCTACAACGCTGCTCCATGGGGAGCAATATCTGTACTGGTCACGCAACATGAGCCAGGCTCATTCCCTGAATTGTTCTGGAAGCCTGGGGAGCAGGGAGCTGCACTGATGCCGTCTGCGTCATGGGGCAGTGTATCTGCCACGCACTGGAGGCACAGCTCCTTCCTCTTAGATCTGGTCACAGGGCTCACTTCAATGTCCCTTAGGGGAGAACGAGTGAGAAAGTTCCAAGAAAGGGGATCCTGTAGGCAGTAAGCGAGATACACGCCTGAACAAGGGATCATCAGGTTTAAAGCCACTTTTTGCACAGGCTGTCAGGATTCCTCCTTGCTTCTGCACATCTCCACTGCCAAAGACATCAGTATTCAGGGGCTAGGCAGAGCTGAGCAGGTGCCTGAATACTGCAATTAGATATCTGGGGGCATCGCCTCTTCAGTGGGGAAGGATTAAAGTCAAATGCCCCAGTTTGGAGCATGGAGTTAAAGTTTAGATCAGCAGCAGATTAATATGTTAAGGAGGAGAGCAAAGCATTTCTACAACTGCTACTCATAGGGTTCAGCTCCCTGTACTCCAGCACTGCACAGATCCAGGCAAGGAAGGGAGCTCACAGCCCACAGAGGTCGTCGGTTCACCTGGATTTCATGAGAGCGAGATGGAGCTCAGCCCCACGGGGAAGGTCTCAAAGGCAGCAGGGAACAGGGGAAGACATGAAAGAGATGCTAAAGGACACATCTAGGGAGGGAAAATAGATCTTACAACACAGAAATCCCAGAGAGGGGGAAACGCCTGGGAAATCAACCTAACCCACAATGTGTCTGCTCCATTCCTTTTCATGCAGATGCATTAAAAAGCAAGTTCTGTTTTTGACAGCTTCAGTGTGTTCAGGAAAAACGTGGTACTGTCTTATATATAGACAGCATATATATATATGTCTATATATATGCATATATATACATACATACAGCATATATATATATACACACACATACATTATATATATATATAATATATATGATAGCAGAACTAGTCCATGCATTATGACAATTTATAAAAGACTGAAATACTCTGACTTTGCAGGTTCCTATACTACCGAAAGGTAGGTAATATGCCAAAAATATATGTGTCTGTGTTGCTTTTGTGCAACATTCCTGTTTCTTTCCCCTTGCTGGAAAACGTTTATTAGTTTCCAAAATTACCCCTCACATCTATATTCAGGTTCTTAATAATARTTTCTCCCATTTTCTGAAGAACAAAGCATAATAAGAGATGTCCTTGATATCTTTACCTGTTCCCTAACAAAAAAGTCCAGTGTTTCTCAATAAAAGCACAAATATCTTCTTTCCACCTGAAGTACCCTTGGCGGCCAGTTCCTTCCAGGGACAAATTGTACATTGCCAGCATGACAACCTGGAAAAGAAAATGTCAGAAGTAAAAAAATTCATTTATATCATATCATGGTGGGAAAACAAAACAAAACAAAAAAACTTTGCATCCTCTTAAATGTCTTTTTTTTTTGTATAACCTCATAGACAGTTTCTGTAATCCATCTTCTTCCCGCTTTCATACTCTTCTCTCTTGTTAGCCACACATTTTTCCAATTATACATACATAAGAGATGTATGTATAATTATTTATTATTATACATGGCGATTCCTCCATGTCAGGAGGATAACAAGCTCCTTAGTTACATATGTTTATWATGAGATACAAGCCTTTGCCTGAGTGTAGTATAAAAGAACTATATCACGGCTGGGATATGACTAGTGTGGGAAAAATGTGTCCAAAAACAGTAATAATAAAAGGGCTCTAAGTCATTCTACTTGTTAATCCACCAGAAATGAAAAGACAGTCATCTTTCCAGATAGCCACTGTTACATTTCAAGTAACATACRTTAAACACTTTGAAAAATTGCTTGCAATATTGCATTGCACTTTGAAATTTTGAAATTGCATTGCACTTTGAAAAATTGCAATATCTATAGTTCTGAGCACCCACAAATCATCCTTTTCTCCACATGCGCTTCATTATATCTAAGCCATTTACAGCTTATTCACATGCTTATCCACAGTTAAATTCAGCTTGACCTACCATATGCCTAAACAAAAAGACAAATTGGACAAAAGAAATATCACACCTCATTATGAGTAAGTCCAAGAGGATAAACTGTTAATTATATTTAACCAGTTCACTCAATACACACAAAACAGTGCAACTAGGCTTAAATCACCTCCCAATAATCACACAGGCTCAGCTGGCTCCCAGTTCCAGGAGGGACCTATTCTTCTCTCTCCTAAAGGTTTCAAATATAGTTTTGGGGAGATGTTCTCCTAGCAATGGGCTGTAGTTCACAGTGTTTATCCCTGCAGATGCCAAAATGAGGAAATACGGGCAGCTTAAGCATTCCACCTACCCTCTTTCTGCCTTCTCCTTCTTGGTTTGAAAACTATTCCTCTATGGAATATACACCTCTAAATTCAGGTGAAACAGTGTCTCAGAACTTCGCAAACACTTGTTTCTCAGTCTTTCTTTTGAATTTGTCTTTCCCTTCTCCTTATCATTTTCCTCCTACTCTAGCAGAAAAAAAATCAGAGTGTGATGCTAGTAGCCTTTGCTTTGTTAATTTGGCAATAAATGCTGCTGTTCTGCTAGCCACAGCTTGCCATGCTAGTAGTGGTAACTCTAGATAACAAGAGCACTATGAAACAGCACTTTCACCTGAAGAGTCCCAGGTCCCAGAGCTCTCAGTAACCTTAGCAGCTTCCCCAGGACGAAAGGAGCACGTTGCCTTAGGAAACTTCAGCAGTAAATACCWGCAAGGACTACTGCGAGCAAGTAGGCAGCCAAATCATAACTCATTCAGATCACAGAGAGCAGAAATAACTTTGTGTTCGGAGAGCTGGCAAACTTTCTGTTTATATGTTGCCACCTCACTAGCTTTACATTCGCTTGCATACACAAACTGCTCATGCCTAGCAGGCAAACTGCATGAGCTTTGCTTTTTCCAAACCTGCCCAGGGCCATGAATTCAGGAGCAACATGAATGAAAAAAAAACAAAATAAACCAAAACAACAACAAAAAAGAGAGGAATGTGGTTTGTATGATTACCTCCCAATCTACTTGCCAAGCGCTCAAGTTCTAATACGCAGGCAACACTTAGCTAATTAATTTCTGAAGTTCATGGATGTCTCTCTTTGTTATCTCTACTCAATCCTCATCTTCCTGGTAGCGTATGCACAACAAACAACAATTTTATAAAGTCCTGTGGTTATTTGGCTAGCATAAATATTTCTACTTACTTGTTGCCATGTTAATCTCAGCCGTTCGTATTGCTCCTTCCCATCTTCTGAGCAGTCAGAGCAAGTAAACCTGAAAAAGTTATCGCCTTTGAGGTAGCTGAGCTGTTCTCTCAGTTGGCCTGCAACAAATAGGCAAAAGAGCAAGTTATATGTGGTTTGGTAGAAAAAAAAAATGATGTAAAGGATATTTAGGTTCCCTACAAGATCAGGCAGAAAAGAAATTTTGCCTTTTCCTGGAGCCTAGTGATCAAGACATCTCCTACAAAATTTCCCACTTCACGGTGATGACTGAAGTACGGAGCAATTTTCCTGCTGCAGAGATCAGCAGTGATCACTGAAACGCACAAACGCTCAGAAGAGGTGCCCTGCTTAACTTCTGGACACAGGTAAAAAGCCAAAGGGTTTGCTCGTTTGCTCTGCATTTTTCACTCCCTCTTGCTCCCTTAGGCTAAACAACCTACCTCAGTAAATAACTAGTTTTGCATTCTATCCAAAAAAGCCCACCTGTAAAAGATATGCAGCTGTAAAGGCCACGGGGATATACAAGCTTTCTCTTTCTTGTCACCTTTCCACTAATTGTTATGTGATTTTATAGCTTGCTCTTTCCATTTCCCTGTCCACACATCACTAACCAACCAAGGCTGTCAATCCCTGCTTGCAGCAGCTTGCACATTAGACATTGTGTGCAACTTCAAGGTGCTTAATACTCCTTTCAGGGGTTGATCTTCTTTTCTTGAGACTGCGAGCCAAATGAATGGCCTTAGTGGACAGTAAGGAACGATATTATCAAGAAATAGGTGGGTTTTTGTCTACTGTTCATGCATTAGGCCCCAAATCAGCAAAGCATTTCAGTGTGTGCTTTGCTGCAGAAAGCCAACGCTGAATGCAGTTTTATCTGCATGAGAGTGGTCTGCTGGGATGGAGCCAACYGTAAATGCCCACGCGTCCAAAAGTTAAAGGTTTTCATTCCATGGTTCCCTTGCAGAGCATGAGGAGGAAAAAAAAGAAATGAAAGAGAAGCAGCAAAACGAAAGGAAGAACAAGCAGATGAATATGAAATTCTAAATTTGCACAAATGAGTAATTTTAAAAAAAGAAAAAAAAATCACAAGCCACAGGAAAACTTATGACTGCAGCCTTTCTGAAACTGCACCTGCAAAAAGGCTGTTTCCTGACAGCACTGCACCTCTTTACTACGCTGTGGCACTAGATCAAGCCTCTTTCAATGCTGCTGGGCTGCTCCACTTCTGTAGTGAACTGCAAAATTTGGCTATTAAAGTTGCATTTGTGTCTTTGGTGTGAAAAACCACAGTTGCTAGAAGTGCAGAATTTCTAGAGGGCAATTCAACACAGAAAGAGGGTATTTGTTCAAGGCTGTTGGCAACTTTCACAAGCAACAATTGAGATCACTTTAACTGAACAACAGTAAAAAGAACTGGATTTCCTTTTTTTTTCCCCCACCTTGTTTACTTTACACATTTGTATCTAGTTACTGTCGCTCCGTTATCAGCTCTCTCTGCTCTTTGGATTTGTAACACAGCAACAAAAGAGAGGAACATCATGGTAAAAGAGGACAAACTGAATGTAAAATTAAGTGTTCTCCAATGCAATATCTCATGCTCCTTGGACTCAGGTGCCTTTTTTTTTTTTTAGATAGAAATTCATCATTTTCAAATTAAAGCATCTCTTTAGCTGCTCCTCACTGTATCTCGTTAGTACTATGGTGGCTCCATTACACTGGCTGACCTGCCTTTGAGAGGAGATTTCCACCCTGCCTGCAACTTTCGGTGAATTTGAAATGGCAAAATGGGCAGCTGAAGTATCTGCAAGGTAGGCACCACCTGCAGAGTTCACCACTCGCACACAAAGCAGCATTTAGCAATACACAGGTTTTAGATTTAACAAAAAACTCAATCATTTAGATTAGTGAAAAGAGAGTCAAGTCTATCGCTTAACAAACAAAATACATCTAATAGCAGTAGCAGAGATCAAGTGATCCAAGCCACTCGAAATGCCTCTAAAAGCTGCTAAAGGCTTGACATGTCTCAGTGAAACCAAAATTAAGTTCATATCATCGGGAAACCATTAAGGTCGAGGTTTAGTCATATATTCCAAAGAAGCAACAGAAAAAGAAATACAGAAAGACAGAAAGACAGAAAGACAGAAAGACAGAAAGAAGAAGTAACACCACCTACAGAACCATTTTCATCTGCAGACCTTTGCAGAAACAGCTGTGACCCTGAACTGGCTGGTGGGTGAGATGCAAAGTCACTTGGCTGAAGTCACTCAAGCTGCCGAGATCGGGACTGGGAAGCGTGTGCTCCTGCTTCCCAAGCCCTTTCCCGGCTCCCTGTTCACTAATTGCTKGCTTTCAGTTTACAAATGGTCTCATTTTCTCCTTGGGGAATGCCAGRTCTGGACACCCCTATGGTTGATGGGTGTCAAGCCCCTAACACACACAAACACAACAAATGGCCTTAGGCTACCAGGCTCTGCATGATGCCCAAAGAGCACTTCTTTCCAACAATGAAATAAGGCTAAACAGAGCTATCCTTTAAAATGGAGAGCAGAACCAGTTTGCCTCACTTTGAAGCCAGCTGAGAGACTCACACACTGTATTTTGAGGGTAGCCAGAGCGATCTGGAAATGGGAAGCACTACAAGAAATAAGAAAAACAGCCTCCTTACTGGCTGGTATCCACTTCTGACACTTCTCGCAGTAATAGGACATCTCCTCCATCCAGGAGGCATCTCCTTCGTCGCTGTTCAGAGAGTCTCCACTCTGATCGTGYGACAAATCCACGGAGGCCTGATCCTCGGACTCAACGATCAAGAGGGTCTCCCCCTCCACCTCACCCTCCTCCAGACCTTCCGAGGTCGACGTCCGCGTCGCTTCGTCATCGTGGCGACTCAGCAGCCCGCTCATGTGAACGTTGTTAGCCATCCTCCAGCCCACAGAGCAAGGCAGCGTTGGCAGGAGACAGGGCCCTTCCTCGCCACGCTCACAAGACCCTTCACACTGCACGCACCACTCCRGCCTCCATACGAAGAAGTGCTGAAGACAGAGGCTCTACAGTTTTTTGAATGTGTCTGGGAGCAATTGTCTTTCACGGATTATCTCCACTTTCTTGGGAGCTGCAAGAGCAAACCTTGCCAAATACCACCCTCCAAACTCCGAGGGGTCAGGCCCGTGCCTAGGAGTGCTGGGACCCTTCCTCCAGCAGCATCTTGTCTCTCTCTTCTTTGAGCTGCTTCGTCAAAGCGATCTGCTCTTCTAAACGGCGAATATTTTCCTCCTTCTGACTGAGTCGCTCCAGGTCTCTGAGAACTCCCCTGTGCAGCCTCTGGAAATAAAAGAGATGGGTTCATCACAGCCTGTTTGATATCGAATACCACTGATCTCCACCTGGGCTCTAATCCCTYCGGCTGGGCTGCTCATCATGTTACCTTTGCAGATCTTCAGTTCTCTGCTGCCTTTAACCATAGCCACTTTCCTGCCTGAATCTAAAAGACTATAACAAATGGCATCTGGTGTCGATAAGCTGATACCAATAGGGCAAAAATATTTCATTTGTGTCCCCTTCAGATGGGTGCACTCACTGTGGGGAAAGCTARTGGGCAAAGAAATGTTATGAATCAGTCACTCCGACACTGCTCAGGAGAGAAACCAAAACTGCAGCCCCATGAAAATCCCAGTTATGTTATTTCCTCCTTCCCCCTTTTTTTTTCCCCTCTCCCAAGCTACCTGAAAGTTTTCTTCACTCTGATAAATACCCGTTCTTCACGCTTAGCCTTAATATCTTACCCACAATAATAGAGGGATTTAAAAACAAGTGACACCAAAGGCATTGACCTAGATCTTGCTGGGGAAAAAAGGAGGAGAGGCAGCAGAAGAGCAACGGGATGCGGCTCCCAAAGGCAGCAGAGATGCAGCTCCCTAGCAATCCAAGCCAACCTGTCATCCCTCCATCTCCTCTGTACTCACAACAGCGCACACCTCATCCCAGTGCAGGCAGAGAAAACAGCTCTTTTCCCTCTCTTTATTTTTCCTTTCCCTCTCATAAAGAAATCACACTCTTGTTACACTCTGCCGATTGATCTCCCTGGACCAGCTCACCAGCAGGCAAGCACCAGAGCAAAGGAGAAGATGGCAACACGTTCCCTAATGACGTCTCCAAGAAAAAGCCTAATGACAAAATCTGAATAATGGATTCGATCTCTTTTCAGGCTGCCAAGGCTCATCTGCTTTCAACTTATTCGAAAACTGACCTCAAGGTTATTTTCAAAGATACCTGTGCTTATTATTTGACAAGTTCTGACAGGATTTTAGCTTTCATCTAGAATACCATTAAGCACACAATTTGTTCTGATTGAGATTCAAGGTAGGAATGTTTTGCTCAAGAAATACTTTATCTTGCTCAAATGGTGCAGACACATATGTCAGCGTATAATCAAAACCCTCGCTGGAAATTAATCTAATAAAAGGAACTCCGTCCCGTTGGCTTCAAACCACTGAATTCTGGTTACAAATTACAAATTGCTAAAAATTTAGCTCATAAACTAATTACTTCATTAGTGCTCTTTAATAACAATAAAGATGCAAAGAGATACTGTGTCACTGAACAATCAGGGCATCAGGTATCTTCATCTTTTCCCTTCATAAAATACAGCTCTTTGGCAATCCTCCAGATGCTGAAAAAATACATTTCCTCCTCAATGGCGCAGTTTATAAAAGACACCGTCATCGTTTTTGCCTCAAGCATGACAAAAAGCTACAAAAAAAGGTCATTCTCTCCTCAAAAGTCGTTCTCTCGTCTGTTCTCAAAGGTTAGGAGTGTTTGTCTTCTGAATCAATTTAGATAAATTTATGCAAGCTCACATCAACTATATATACACCTGTAATATCAAACTGTAAAACATAGTTAATGTTAAAGTAGAGCCGAAATAATCTCTACACCAGGTCTGAAGGGTGTTCACATTTTTTTTTTCATTTCTCTTTCTAAGCAATTGAGTCCCATGGAGCTGGAGCCATTATTCCCCCCCAGACAGCAAGATTTATAAAACTAAAATTTCAGATTCTGGTTATGTTTCAGGGGCATTAGGTTAAATCGAGATTACATCAACATGTGATATCTATGTCAAGCTCAGCTTTTCGAGGTATCCTACATAACCTAAAGAAGCGTTTTGCTAGGCTCCGTATGGCCTGGTCACCGCCGTGGTCCGAAGCCCCATGCTGGATGCGCAGAGGGAACGGAGGGCAAATAGATGCCTGCATCCTTCTTTGAGCAGGGTGGCTCTCCCGCGGCGCCATGGCCCTTCCCGGCGGCTGGGCTGGTCCCGAGGGAAAGGACAAGGGACCAAAGCCAAGGGAGCCGCAGGGCCAAGGCGGGGCAGCCCGCGCGGGAGCG